GAGCACTACTTCTCCAATTTTGGACTTTTCGAAATTTATTGGGCTTTGCACATTTCCAGGCAGAACACGTTGAGAATTTATTAGAGAACTCGAATTATAAATTATTATATTGAATGGAGCGCATGAATAGTGAGGTGGAGTAAAAGTGTAGTAATTTCCAGCATCAAGATCCGTGACGTGTACATCGTTTACTCCACTTTCTTTTTGACCCCATTCGCTTAATTCTCCCTTTCCTGTGTTTCTGCTACACGCTAAATTTAAGCGCAATAAGTAATTTGCTTTTCTCAGATTTAAATGAAATTCTCTCGAGGAACCCCTGCATCAATGGAAATGATGCAAATAAATACGGAAAGGTTTTACAAATTCAAAAACAATTTACTGTGTTTTAAAAAGCTTTTATACAGCAATGTTTTCTTTATTTTCTTCTTAAAAAGCTTTTTCAACACTGGAAGCAGTGGTCATCAGGAAAGATTGACAGCTGACAAGTTAGGTAGCAATAAGCCGGTTTGTAACACTTTAGAAACGTAAAACGTCATTAATTTGAACGAATTTCACTTAAAAAAACACTTGTATTGTAAAATATTGAGACTAGATTCATCTCTCTTCAAGAGTAATCCAACAAGAATTCAAAGTCAATCAACTCTAGAATAAGCAGCTAATAAAATGTGCTAGACTCTAGAAATAGCAACTGTAAAAATTTGAGCAAAAACTGACTGTATTTGACGTCTGCTGTAAAGCCAGTAATAAAAAGAATTGTGCTAATTGAAAAGTAGCAAATTTTAAGCAAAAACCTGTATTAGTCACTGGAATTGGCATAAAGCAACCGAAATCTACTTTGTTTGGCAAATTTTGTATTGGGAGACGAGTTACTGCAGCAATGATATGAATTGGTTCTGACGTCTCAACATACACTGAAACATCCCCCGGACTTATTGCGTAGACAACATCATCCGCCATAAGACCTCCCTGTAGTTATTTTAATGAATCCACTTATACAAACAATTTTTAAATTTCATAGAGTTGTAAATTATTCAATGCTTTTGATTAGTAAGGAATGAAGTATTAGTAACACACTTGAATTTCTTTGGTTTCAGAGATTTTGTTATCATTAGAAATTATTGTGTAGTTTACAACGGCACTGTGCATAGAGAAGAAATATAGAAGCTCGAGTCCATCTGATGCTGCAGCAGGAATTGAGAAAGCGAATCGGCGTGAGGCAAGCGTTGTTGGCCAAACTGTAAAAGTTTGTATAGTTCAAAGTTCCTTTGACAATTACAAATTATGCGAGCACACCGACAAATGAGCAGAAAAATGAAGTAACTGAAGCGTTACAAAGCTACTCGAGCTAGAACGCTGCCAGTAATAAGGACGAGAAGTAAGTAAAGTTAGGCACTGCTAATTTTTTTTACACTTCAGGTGAATGTGCTCAGAAAGTAGAAAAAAACTATTTTAAGTCGGTTCTGTTCCACATTTCCAAAATTTTTCTTTTAACAGTTAGGAATGTTTATTTTAAGAACAAACGCCTAATTCTATTAGCAATAAAGAAGAGATTTTCAGACACGTTATTCCACAAGTAACCATCAAACTAAGTTTCTAATTTTTACAAACCACTGAGGCTGTCTCCAATTCCATCACAAAAGTCATGCGCTATTACTGAGATTGGAATATCAGATTTCACATAAATTTTCGTACTATTTATGTTTTGAATACCAGCTTTTAAATCCTTTCGCATACTTGTGCTTGGAAACTGTATTTTGCTCCACCCTGTATGCTGAAATACTATGGAAACAATTCAGGAAAGTTATAGTAATTCAAAAATTTTCACTGTTTTTGTAAATCTTTTCAAGCTGTTTTTCTAAACTTTTTTTTTT